CATTTCTGAACATGTGGGTTGGGATTTTGAGTTGAAAAGTGGGGGTGGGGGGATTTGTTGGAATGTGTTGAATTTGAAAGATTCGAGGCGTCACTTATGCTCCTTCCGTTCCGTTGTTTGCCTTCTTTTACGATCTGCTATCGCTGCCACTGGTATCACTACCGCTGAGCAGACAAGCAGTTGTCAATCAACTGTGGGGAATAGTGACATCCAAGTCCTTATTACACCGACTGTGTGATAATCACACCGATTGTATGCTAACGTATTAACAATAAGGTGTTTGAATCTTGAGAATCGCGATAGCGTAGGGAACAGTAACGAGTACTGGAAAGTTTCATTTAATTTGTGCCGGATGTTTGTGTCTAGTCGTCTACTTTCATGCTGGTTCTTATAACATTAGCATCTTGATCATACCAGGTTGATGCAGATTGTGATTGAAATGCGACTGCGTGACGACAGATGAATTGAGTTTGGAAAAATGCAAGCGCTCAATTGCACACCGAGCCGTATGCTGCACCTTCTCCAAATACTATGTCCATGCAACAAAGGACTGCCTTCGGCAACTTTGCAATCGAGTTCACCTCCATTCGTAGTGTCGGCAAGCTGGAGCCACGCCTATCATGTACAACCATCATGTCACAAAATTGGAATTCAGCGCAGGAAAGTGGCGCAGGGAAGAGTGAAGATTGCTGAAATGATTTACTGACGCATGTCTATGCTTTGTATTTAGCAAGTGCCTGCAGTTCGTCACAGTGATTTATGTCGAAAACTCCACAAATATTTTGGTTGTCAGAAATAGCACCCTACCAATTGTTCATTGTTGAGAGGTGTATATTAATGCATGAACGACGGTACTGAATAATTCGAGACACCAGACCGAGCGTTTTAATGGGAAAACGAGGTGCCACTAGACGAGCATTCCTTAATTGGCGCATGGATGCTGGATTCGTAATGCGTCCGCAGTAACACAAGCCTTCCAGTCTTTTGGATGTCGGTTTCCCTGATGGCATCACGGATTCAAGCTCATGTCGTTTTCGCCACCTGTCTTCCATCATCTCGGTGTGCTCATAATCAAGCCACGATGGCTTTAGGGCCAACTGCCATGTTCTTACATGGCATCATCAACACCTATGCATGTGACATCCCGATCTTCTAACCACCACTCCCTCTTCACATGCACCTGACACTTGATCAAAATGAAGTGATTTACACAGGAAGGTAATAACAAAACAAAATCACTTGGTGTGGTATTTTGACAATGAAATGTCCGGTCTGTAGAGGTGACTTTGTTCCAAGATCCTGGTGAACTTATTCATATTGTGAAAGTAATCATGGCTTACGATCAGTGGCTCATCTCGATACCGAAAATTTGAAAAAGCAGCATCTAACAGCTCTGCTCGCTATTTCAAGTACAAACCAGACGCCCAAGTAGATATGCGTATAATGCAGTAAAAACGGAAATTTTCTGACCCTTTGTCACTTTCATTGTCCGAAAATAAAAGTCTCGCAGAACATCCAATTGCATCCTGTGTATTTCTAGCAAGTCGGAATCCTGTCTTAGTGCTTTGTAGTGAGAGGTGTGAAAGAAATATCGCAAACAAAAAGTGGCGCAATCTCGAAAATGATTTGGCCTTTATTTTGCTATATAAGTAAAAGAAGGAAAAATTGACTTCGAAATTAGCGTTTTTTGAATACACTTGGGAGGGGACATTTCATGAAATAATGCCAGCTTGAGGGTGTACTGGATCCAATAAAGGCGGCAGGAAAATTTAGCAATAAGTTGCTCCACGACCTCTTCAAGTATAGCAAGTGGATGTTCATATTCAGCAGTGTTGGCTGTGTTATCAGCATTCGATCCAGCTAATGTCGATGTGAAACTCGCCTGATCAGGTTCTAGCTCTTGACCAATCAGCCGCAACCTCTCACCGTTTCTTCCAAAGAGCTACAGGGAACCTCCAATCATCGTACTCGATCAGCGAAGTCGCACAGGGCTGTCATTGATGGCAACAACTTGACAGCTGTGCATTCAACACCTCAGCTAGTTTATTTACTCAAGTCTGTTAAATGTTTGACATGATTACTTATGACATAATCGTGTGAAAGTGTACATCAACAGTTTATTGCAGATTATGTTTCGTGGAAATTAGTTATTATTTTGCGAGACCAAAGAAATCTCGATTCCGCGGCGTATTTCGACGATGGGGTCGATCTTTCACGACGCAACCACTTTTCTAATTCCCTTCATTTGGCTCAGAATTGTTGGACAGGCAACATTAGTCACACATTGTCGACGTGGAAGTATTTCAATATATTTCAGCACATTCCGCGGCAGATGCATTTAGCTTCTCATCATCACTATCCTCGTCCGTTGCCTCGACTAGGTAATCTATTGGAAGTGCACCTCCAATCCGCTGACTACACCTTCTTCACTCAAGCACTTCATTTGTTGACAGTTTCATTTATCCTCACTGTGTAGACATTCGGTTCATACTTCAAATCAAAATCAGTGACCTCTAACCAATCATATTCTGGGCTCGAGATTGCACTAAACATCCACGCGGAGAATGCTCTAACGAAGGGGCAAAATTCAAATCATTTCAAATGAAATGAGGGTTCTAAGCAAGGAGAAATAGTTCAAAGCATAATAAAGATTACTACATCTATAGACTGAAGCATGGCCGTGCTTTCTGATGTGTATGAGTATCATCAATTGGGTACAGTTGACAAGTCTCCACAACTTTCTGTGAGCTACACTGAGACCTCAGAACCTTCTTAGTCAGATGGTATCGCAATGTCATAAATGAATTGAAAGCACCAATGCTCAGCAATAGCATTCGGGAACTAGAACAACGTCCACACCACAATCATCACTACCGTCGATGACATCACTACGGTTCATCCACACCAGTTGATCGCTCTCTACAATCGG